ACTTGCACAAACACGGGGAGGCCGGCCGTCAGTAGCATGGAAGAGAAGGAGAAAGAAGCAGTCCATTTTGAAAAAGCAACAAGAAAACAAACAAATAGGCGGACACATCATGATGAGAATAAAAAAGCCCAACAACAACAAAATCCACATAGATGTCAACCCACATGCACGAATATACACGTATACAAATATATGCGTGCCGTATTTGCACAAGAATACACAGAACCCACAGGCATGGGCATTCCCATGTATGTATACACGTACAAACGCTGCATACGCACATCCCGCTGTCAGGATTGGCGGCACGCCTTATAGGATGATGGATGTAGAAGAGAAAAAACAGGGCCATGCGGGCAAAACAAGAAAGAAAGAGGAGAACATATAACACGTCAACGATACAAATGACACTCCGATGGGGAAGACGTACAACGTGCGCCGTGCGACGGTAATTTCTCACAACCTTCCGCGACCAAGGCCTGTCAGTTGAGTCTGCCCCTCCGCCCTCCCCGCCACCACAGCCAACAACAAAAGCGCAACTGTTCGCAGTATCCTCCCGGCACGCCTCTGCCAGAGCATGGGAGGAAGAAGCGCTTCGTGGACAAGTGGCATTGTGTCGACTTCGCCCCTTTTTGCCTTCGACAGGGTGCACTCTGGCTCTGAGGCCAAAATACGGGGCGGTCACAGCTCCTTCTCCCCATGCTCAGCACGTCTGCTGGACTAGAGGCTCTCATCCACCGGGGTGAAAAGCTCAGTCTCCAGAAGCCCATCCTGCGCCATGTCGTCCTTCCCCCACGGGCACACGTTGCAAACTGTCCCCGCACTGCAGCTGCTGTTGCCGCCAGCTCTCCGCCTGCGGCCATGCTACTTCCCCCGCCATCGAGGTAAAAAATAAAAAGTTCCGTCCTTTACTGAGAGGTAGCCCAGAAAAGCATCTACGGGGGACACCGTTGACGCCACTCCAGCGTGCGCATCGGTGCTGCTCAAATAACGGAAAGGGCTTGCGCCACTGTCCATCCGATCCGTGAGGTCGCTCAGGGGCTTTACACTTCCATGCAGTGAGCCCTCCTGCGCACGGAAAATCCCGGGGCCACTCCCACTCAGTGTGACGAGTGTCGTAGAGCGGCTACTGACATAATTGAAAAGGCGGTTTTGCAGCAGGCGCTCCTCATCCTTGCACGAGTCGGCGGACACGTCCTCGCCACACGCAAAGCAGTTCTCCTCCTGTGCGGTGGAGGCTGGTTGTATCAGTGCGCCTCGTCGCGTTCTTGTGTCTCTCCAGGCAGAGACTGGGGGAGAAACCGCCACAGCAATTCCGTAAAGAGATATCTGACTTGCCAGAGTACCGTCGCTCCCGTTTCAATAGATGCTGCTCCCACAAATGTCCCACGCATCCCCCTCCTCATCCTCGTCTCCGTCGACCTCGCTACCGCCAAGGAGAGCAACAGCAAATACCTGTCTTCTCATCGTCCCCATTTATCTGCCGCAGAGAGTCTATTATTTGGCTGCTGCTGCTGGACCATTGCACATCTGCGGAAGAGGCCGAGGTCGCCCTCATCGTCGCTGGAAAGGACATCCGGCGGCTCCAAAACGTGCACGCCCTCAAGAACAAATTCCGACCCGCACCGTGGCCGAGAGACGGCAGCTCTTGTTGGCACCCGGCAACAAGGCATCGTTTGTTGCTTCTTTTGTCCGCAGCAAAAAGTGGGCCAAAGTCCCTCAACACGCTCGCCGCCCTCCCCCTCCGTGTGTCCTCCGTGTGTGTGTGTGTGTGTATTTCCTCCACGCACGTTGGGCGCGCAGACCGGCACCACAAACTCCAGTACTCTCGCTGTTGCCGGGCGAGAGAGAACTGAGGACGGACGTACACGGCAAAAGACAAAAAGAGCGCCATAAACCACGGCGCAACAACAAACGCACATTCATTTCTACCGCAGTCAAATACAAGCGCACACGCACGCAAATGCCGTTTCGCTCTATTTTCCTTTTTCGTTTTAACCGTTGTCCAGCCCCTGATCTTCACTTACATTCATTACCGCCTTTTGCCAGCCGTGCGGCCTCGTCCCAAGCGGCCTAAATAAAGGCGCCCCGCCACGTACAAAACAAGACAAACAGCGCGGGTGAGGTACATGGTCAAATAATTCCCCACCCGGGAGTGGGGCGAGAAAATAGGAAAAAAGCACAAAACAACAAGGCAGAAATGTGGACGTGCGGGCAGCACAGAAAAAGCAAACACAAAGGAAAAATAGATGCCAAAATGCCAGAACCAAACTACATATAAAAAAGTGGGCCAACTCCACAAACTGGGAGCCACACCAGCGGCACTGACCGCAGCCGCACCGTGGGACGCTCCGCTCACAAGTAAACCACACGAACTCACAAGAATACATCCCCAGCGGCTCCCAACCGCAAGCACCCACCGCGAGGTGAGGGCTCTGGAGTGGGAAGGCCAAAGCAACGCACACACAAACAAAAAACACGTTGAATCCCCTCCATCTCCCAATCGCACAATTAACAGAATAAAACGTATCAAAAACACAGACTCACATACATCGTTCATTGGCGGCCCAGCACACACACGCACATCCTCATCACGTGCCCCCAGCAGAAGCACACACGCAGCACAACGCAACGGGCGCCCACTGGCTCCACAACCACCTCCCGCACGCGGGTCGAGTGCAGGGAGTGACACGCTCCACGGGGGCACGGGGCAGTCAATGACACATTCCACGCTGTTCGGCCACGGAGCGCACAGGGCACAAACCGGAATGCGGCAACCAATCAAGCAATACATTGGGATTCAACAAGTACAGAAAACAAATCATTTCGTTCATTTGTCAATCGCACGACGGGTATATCACTTCCTCCGAGTACCAGTCCACACGGGCGACAGGCGATGTGTCGTTGCCGAAGCGCGCCATCAGCGCAGCGTAGTCGTCCTCCCGCACGTGATGGACACACATCGAGGTCGGCACCACCTGCGAGTGCCCCGTGTCATTGCGGGCGTCATGGAAATGACAACCCAACACCTTGACGTATACCATCGGCTGGTACTTCACTTCCTTCTCAAGAACCAAACCAACCATGGCGTCCTCGTACAAAAACCCCAGCAATGCAAACTCGTCATCACGCTCCTTGCTGTACGGCAGGTACGCCAGGCGGCGCAGCGGCTTGTACGACACCAACGCCTCCGCCACATCCCTCGACAAGGTGTAAAAGCAACCAGCCATATACGCCACATGTATAAAACTTTTCTTAACCAAAAAAGAATGCCCAATGTGATATCCCATGTAGATCCCTCGGCGCGGCAGGAGGCGCAGGTGAGCAACAAACAGCGGCACACGGAGGAAAATGTCGTCATCACCCTTCGCAATGTACCTCGCGGTCGGGAACAGGCGGTGCGCAAGGTCAAACCACATGTACGTCTTGCGGGTCATACCAATCTCCTCCTCTTCGCCCCTCGAGCCGTCGTGAGCAACTGTTTTGTTATTCGTCACACGGCCCTCGTTCATTGGCAGCGCAACCACATCGTTCCACTGCGACGCCTCCTTCAGCAGCGCGGCAGAGTAGTCGTAGCCGTGCGACGGGTGTCGCCCAAGGACGTACAGCACAAGCATCGCACCTGTGAAGTCGTTCGCCCTCGTCGCCACTCCGGGGAAACGCCAGCACGTCGACCGCTGCAGGTTGCGTCGTGTTCGCCTCGCCTCGTCGTCCGTGGAGGGGATGCCCAGCACAATCAGATACTCCCGCCGGCTCCACGTGTCCACAACACGGCGTGGGATGTAAGCAAGCGCTGCGTCGTCCACTGCGGCGGCTCGGGGGTGGCGGAGGTTGTTGGGTTCTGGTGCACCATCATCGGCAGCGGGGTGAAACCTGAGGGACAGAACAGTCATGACCGCAATGAAGAGAATCAGCAGCACGGCAACCCGCCTCAACCTCCGCTTCATCGTCGGCAGTTTCGTTTTCGCCATGGTCGCTTTCGGTGTGAGAGTCTAGGCAAAAGAAAAAAGGGCGGAGAGAGTGTGGGGGCAGCAGGCAGCAGGCACAAACAGCACGGGCGACAACCATAAACAACACGGCCACGCGGTGCCACGCAGCCACGCGAGTACACGAATGCCCGTCAGCCAACCCACTGCGCCCCACCCGAATCCGGGACGGTGCGGGGGAAGGCGTCACGGCGGCGGAGAAGCCGACAGCACGCCGCCGCGGCGGTGGCAACGTGGGCGGCGACACCAGCGCACAGGAGGCACGGGAACAACCGCCAGGGCTCGTCCGGCGCCTGTGGGACGCTGCGCCGCCTTCTCTTCCCACCGCTCTCACGGCCCCAGCCACAGCTGCCCAAAGAAATGGTCGACAGGCACGGGGGGCTCAGAACACTGCACAGCAAACAGAAGTGTTAAACGTGCATATGGTTTAATTTCTGGAGTGATATGAAGACCACCAGCGCCCCGCACAACGCAGGGAGCGGCCGCAAGCCCGCCGCCCACCAGCGAGTCCACCCGCCGTCTGCTTCCCGTCCGCCCGAGCGGCCCCTACACTGTGCAGCCTTCTACAAGAGAACACAAGCAGGGGAAAAAAAGGAGGGACAGCTGTGTCGTCAACAAGCAGGGGCCGTGTGTCATTGGCGTTGTCCCGCCCGCTCGGCGCATCGGCGGCGGGGCGAGCGTCACGTCACGCACTCTCCACACACCGGGAGCCACACCACCGGCACTGACGGCAGCCGCACCGTGGGATGCTCCGCTCACAAGTAAATCACACGAACTCACAAGAATACACCCCCAGCGGCTCCCAACCGCGAGGTGAGGGCTCTGGAGTGGGAAGGCCGAAGCAACGCACACAAACAAAAAACACGCTGAATCCCCTCCATCTCCCAATCGCAAAATTAACAGAATAAAACGTATCAAAAACACAGACTCACATACATCGTTCATTGGCGGCCCAGCACACACACGCACCTCCTCATCACGTGCCCCCAGCAGAAGCACACACGCAGCACAACGCAACGGGCGCCCACTGGCTCCACAACCACCTCCCGCACGCGGGTCGAGGGCAGGGAGTGGCACGCTCCACGGGGCACGGGGCAGTCAATGACACATTCCACGTCGTTCGGCCACGGAACAAATAGCGCACCTTCAGAGGCACACCAAATTATCTAACAAGAAATCCATAAATAAAGAAAATAAGCTATTTCGTTTACTCGCTAATTGTAAAATTGGCAGAAAATACTTGTCTGGGCTGCTCGCCACATCCTAAACGTATGTAAAGTGAAGTAATAATGGTGGAAAAGAAAGAAGGCAAAAGGAGAAGCAGTGGGTTTCGCCTAAATGCCTGCTTCAAGTAAATATATACATATACATGTATCCATTTTCGAATTGTCGCTCACGTAACATGTGGCACATTGTTGGGATTGTAAATATTACGACTTATAAGGCGGTAGGATTTTGAGGATCCTCCAGCCACAAGACCCCACCGCGAGGCGAGCATCGCAAGAGGGTGTGGGTGGAACGGAAAGTGAAAAATAAAAAGTAAAGAAAATATTCGTCTTCCCGACATCGGCTCCCTGATTACTTCCATCGTCGGCTTTCACAAAATAATTAGCAACACAGGTAAAAAAAAAAATCGTAGAGAAAAAAAATATCCTCGTTTTTATCAAAAAATATATTAATTTCGGCGGCCAGCTTTCCTCGCAAACATCCTCTTCACAGGCTCCCCTAGGCGCTATTAAAAAACATGACGACATACGCTTATGATTGCGGCGCCCACTCCCACGGATATTATTGCGTATATGTACATCAACCTGCGGTTGTCAGAGTCGTAAAACCCAATCATTTCATTGACAAAAGAAGAAACTGTCGAAAGCGATCCACAGAGCCCATCCATAGCAATTTTACACCAAACATTGTCCCTAGTTCGGTAGAAATGATCCAGCAACCCCATAAGCAAAACCGCAATCATGTTTGCGGCAAATGTGCCGATCGGGAAGTTCCAAAAGCGACTGCTTCCATTCCACAACTGGGCCAACAGGTAGCGGGGCACGGCGCCGAGAGGAGAAATGACAACAGAACGACGGTTAATGAAACTCACGTTCAACAGGTCGCGATGCACAGAAGCCTCAATCGCAACGGGAACCACCACCGCGGCTACAACCGACACGAAAAGAAAAATGACGTTGGCGAGGCGCATTTGTCTCCCTCCTAGTTCGTAGCGGCTGGCACTTATGCCAATTATGCAACCCAGCGACGGCATCATAAATGCCCGTAATAAAAAAGCTGTGTCACGGCCCCAAAGAAAAAAAACAAAAGGCATTGTCAGGCCAGAGACAAGCTCATCAAAGCACAAGGCAACGCGCTCTTGTCTCACGGTGTCAAGCATCCAGCTAGAGAAGGTTGTCAAGGAACCGCAAAAGCCGACAAGAAGACTGCGGAAGATCCATGGAAAAATGGCATTTTGTGTCTTGCTGGATGCCAGTGATGCGATAAAACCCATCAGGTGGCAGCCAATACAGTTCGGGCCGTAAGTGGTGTAAGTGGTGAGAACGGAGTTACGTACAAATGCCTGCTCTATCGCCAGACGCAATGCCGTTCCCGCAAGCGACCAGCACCCGACCCCAATAATCGCCCCCAAATGTGTCAGCCAAACATCGTCTAAGATGCTGTTATTTGGCTGTGGCGGTTGTCCCCCAGCAGATGGCATCCCACCCTGCTCCGCAGCTGTGTCTTCCTGCAGCCCGCCGTCCTCCCTTTCCTCCTGCAGATGACTTTCTTCCCCCATCAACCGCTCAAATTACTCAGGCGTGAGATCAGTACCATTTGTGTTCGCAAAACATGATGCCAATGAACAAATAAAAAGAAAAGAAGCAAAATGTGCCTCTGGCATGAAACGAGACACACATACACTAGAAATATCAATTGGGGCAAATGGCAGGAAAGAAATGACGGAGGAAGGAGCAACAAAATATCGTAATGAAAAGGGGGAGGAAAAAGCGGGAGTAGGTGGGGATGCAGCAGTTACAATCCCGTTTTCAGTGGACACCTCACAACGGCACAACACGACTGCGCAGCAGTTTCTCAACCTCCCTGCATACATCAGCAGGTGACATGGCACCCACAAATACAGCGTACACCTCCACAACACAAACCCCCGCCGGTTCGTCACACGTAAAGTCCGGAATTAACATCGGTCGCAACGCCAGGTGAGGTAAAGTGGCCGCGGGTAACTTCCATCGTCCGTCAAGTGAGCCCCAAAGGGAATCTGCGCCTTTTACCGACGCCGTTGAGTCATCGGATGACATTGCCGGCTGCTGCGACGATACCGTGGAGGTGGCTGTTGTTGGCACGTATGATGATGTTGACGTAGAAGATTCTCCGCCAAAAAAGAAAAACGGCCTCCTCTTCACGAGACGCGGAGCCTGCGGTGTTTGTAACGGCGAGTTGACCACCTTCCCTGGGCTATCGTGGAAGTTGCAGACGGAATAAAAGAACTGCATCCCGAGGTGACCCCACAATCCCTCCGAGTACCCGGCCTGTAAAAATGAGTGGGCGCGACTGATGTTCAGCGCAACAAGCCGCCGTAGCGTCACCACCGCGTCCTGTACATTTGCGGGCCTCTGGTGCATCATGCGATGAAAGCTGGCAACAACACCCCCATTTCTTCGGCGCTCGACAACAACAAAATGAATCAGCCCAGGGATTTCAAACGCGTCTACCGGTGGAGAGAGTAGCCACTGAAAGCAGTTAAAGCTCGTCTCCATGCTACCAAAGACATCTCGTGTGAACTGCGCAAAGACAGGCCTATCTGCCGTTGTAGGAGAACGACGCCAAGACTCCTGCTCACGTGCACTCTGCGGCGGGAGATACAGCAGAAACACACCGTAGCCATGGGGACACTTTTCCATGAGGGGGTTCTCGTCCTCCGAATCGCCGCTATCCTGCTGCTGTGGTCCTGCCGCCGGAATCCATCGCAGCTGCATGAAGCCAACAAAATCGGAGTTACGAAAACAAATATTTTCCAGCTCAAATGTCCGACCCTCTACGGCATTAAAGTCCATGTCCATCTGGTGGTATTCATTAAAGGCCACAGAAGGGGAACGTGCGGTGGGGGATTTGTTCGTCCCACACGTCGGTTTCTGTCGATTCATAGTTGCCAGTAACTCGTTGTAGGCATTTTCAAAAAAGAACGCACGGCGACTTTCATTAACGTCCCCTTTTTTTAATGCCAGCGTGTACGTCTGGATGGCCCTCCGCGCGGCGAGACGGCTCACATTGTGACGATGAATGCCAAACCGCCGCAGTCGCTGCTCAAGTGCTTGCAGTCGTTGTTCCTGAGGTGAGACTTCATAGCAGCTGTGCAGCAGGGGCGTGGAGAAAAAGGCGCAGGTCACAAGGTAAGCCAAGTACCGATCCGAATCGTGCAACGTCACATGCTCAACACCGCCTGCCTTCGCCGCCTCCTCACTCCACCGCGGCGAGGTCTCCAGAACAAGCTTGTGGCCAAGCAGCACAGCAATGTAGTTTGGCAGCCGGCAGCCAGTCGCATCCTGCAGGAGAGACTGACGCGCCAAGTCGTCTAACAGACCGCTGGCGCCATCGCTCGCAAAGCCCGTCGCAATGATGGCAGGACGCACAAGCCGTTCAATTGTCTGGCACAGTAGCGAGACGTCGTGTTGCATGAGGCGGGAATTCATGTAGAGAAGAATCTGTTTTAACACTGGAGCATTCGGGCCGCCACGGTGAGGATCAATGTTGAGGAAAAGACACAACTCGCTCACAAGCGCTGCAATGCGCAGGAGTGTAACCGCACTGTAGCCAACATCGCTTCCCACAGCAACAAAGAGCGCATTCAACGACTCCTCATAAACGTTATTCTCCTGTTCATGCAACGGATAGCGGTAAACATGAGAGTGCTGCTGCGCTGAAAACGGTGACGGGGCAGTAGACGTTTCCCCTTCCCTCCGCGACTCTTCCATGAGGCGCAGCATGTCGTCAAGCTCCCCAACCCGCAGGATCACTACCGTTGCTTTGCCCAGGGTGATGGAACGAGCACGAAGTCGCCCACGGCTGTTTTCCAACAGCTGCACGGTAAATCCATGCAGCTCCCCGGAGGCACCTGCGGCAACGGAGAAGGAGCCGGGCGACGATACAGATATGTACCCCATCGTTCCCCTTTTAAACCTCTTCCCACCGCCCTTTGCCTACTCACCCACCGCGCCGCAGCCCCGCTTGAAGCCACAATTGGACACACACAGACGCGGTGACACAAAAAAAGAGCGGGAACTCAGCCAAGTAAAAAAAAAAAAAAGGAAGAAATAACAAAAGCAATGAGAAGCGTAGCAAACACGACGATGTCTTCACCACGACCGTCCAAACAGCGGATGTGGTGGCAGCAAAACGCCGTGTGAATAAAATATTAATGTTCTTGAAACGCACACACACACACACAAAAAGGGTAAAACATATCATTATTGCGTGCAAGAGCTTCCAATTGCAATGAGCACTTTTCTCATTTCTACTCGTCCCCAATGCAGTTGGGCAGAAGCAAAAACGCAACTAAAACAAAACGCAAACAAAAGAAAAAACTCGCAACGGGCATCTTTTCCATTTTTTTTGTTTTTATTTTGACTTTTAATTTTTTTTTACTCTTCCTTTCTTCCATCCGCCCCTCGCTGATTAAAAAGAGTACTGCAGCATGATGTTTGTGGGCTCAATTTGCGCAAAGCTGCAGGTAAGGTTTTCGTCCACAATCATGAAGGCCCCGGCGTTGTCAAACTCACCGCAGTAGTTTGGCGCCGAAAAGACCGTGACGAGGCGGCGGGCGGAGAAGAACTCGTAGCCGGCATCCACCACTTGGTGCGCACGACATATGAGATCGAGATCAAACTGCTTCAAGGTGGCCTGCACAATGTCCTCGCCAAAAGTCCAGGAAACGCCGCGGTCGTTCTCACCCCAGCCGGAGCACTCGCCCGGGTCGGCCCAGAGAAGGTCACAGATGAGGCCGCTGTCAGGCACATCGGTTGGCCGAAGAATGCAGCGGATTTGGTCGAGTTGTTTCAGCTCCGGGCTCAAGCCACCGTGCATGCATAAAATGCGATCCTCTACAAGCCCAGCCACCGGCATACAGTTGAACGTATCCGTGAACTGCTTCCACAACCGCACGCTGTAGCGGCGCTTGCATTCATCAAAAAAGCCGTAGATGCGATTGATGCTACTAGACTCATGATTTCCGCGGAGCAAAAAGAAAGATTCAGGAAAACGCAGCTTGTATGCCAACAAAAGACATATGGTCTCAAGGGACTGGTCGCCCCGGTCTACGTAGTCACCAAGAAAGAGGTAGTTGGCCTCCGGTGGGTAGCCGCCAAGATCAAAAAGACGTAGAAGGTCGTGGTACTGCCCATGCACATCACCACAAATTCGGACCGGTGCTGTTACTTCTACAAGCATCGGCTGTGACATAAAGATCATACGTGCCTGTATGACAAGGTAACGTACCTCTACCTCTGACAACTCCTTCAGTGACGACATTTCGTTTAATTGACGATGTGAATCCATCGCCTGTGCGTTCTTGAAGGCAGTGAGACGTGACTGACGGGTGTATTTGCATTGACGGCCAACAGGGCTCTCGATGGAGGCGGAAGCCAAGGCCGCGGCACCATTATGAGAGGGATGCAGTAAGAGCCTCTCAATAATGCCGTCTAAATTGATCTCCATCTCCTGTCCTTTCACCATTCAGACCTTCTCTCCCCCCCCCCCCCACACCTCCCCACAAGCGGTCCTGCGTTATTTCTGTTCCCCACAAACACCGCCCTCAATCCCCCTTTTTCTCTCTCTCTCTCTCTCCTTCCTTCTTGCTGTATTTTGTGTTTTCTTTTACTTCTATTACTTTTCCTCCCTCTTTTTTAAAAAAAGCTCCGATCGGGGTTTCCCCAGCAGCGTCTCGTGCCGCGGTCAGTGATGCACGCGGGAAAAGAACCCGTCGCAACAACACGGTGCCTGCGCAGCGTTAATATTTGCGTCCTGTCGCCTCCTACACCAATCAATCAACCACACTTTTTTTTTTTTTTTCTCTACTTCTCACGGCCTGCTAAAAACAGCACCGGCGCAGCCCCCCAACTCCAATTATTATATATTTTTTCTTTACTTCTCTCCCTCTCTCTCTCTCTCTCTCCCTTCGTGCGTGAGAAAACAATGCGGTGAGGCAGGCTGTTCGTGGGCACAGCAAGAAAAGGAGGAAAGGACACATAAGAGTGGTAGAGACGCAGACAAATACAGAGCGAGGCGGGCAGTTTCCCGGCATAAAAAGGCCGGTGGCGTCAATAAAGAAAAAAAAAAAAAAAAAAAAAAAACCGCCACGCATCGCACCATACATACGAACAAAGGAAGAAGGGGAAACACACACACAAAAAAAAAAAAGAGAAGTTAATTTGTTGGCATAGGGTCATTACCAACAAAACCCGCAGGACTCCCCTTCACTGTGTTGCCCACTTCTTCCTCTGAGAGATCAATAAAAACGGCATGCTACGTCCTTGCAATCTTCACATCATCGGAATTCATTACTGACTCCTCGTAGCCGGTCTCATCAATGTACTCGCGCCCACGGCGGAAGTGCGGTGGGTGCCAGACTTTAAGTGTCGCGTCTGGGGTGGTGTTGGGTTTCAATGCGGAGCGGCCAAGTATCATACGAATGCACTCAACTAACCCTTGCACCGCTGACGGATATGACGGTGTTAATTTCAGCAACTCGTACGCCGATTCTAAACTTCGGATGGAAAGCGATGCTACTTCAATGATGCTGCCTGCATGCACACCAAAGGCACGAACACCAAGCAGTCGCTTCTCACTATCACTTGTAACAATGACCTTGCAGAAACCTGTTGTGTTGCCCATGGCAAGAGCGCGGCTCAGGTGACCGTACCCGTAGCGTGCCACAATGTAGCCCAAACTACGAGCGCGGCACTGCTGCTCATTGAGTCCCACACACGCCAACTCCTCGTCTAAAAATAAAATGGTTGACAGGTTTGTCAGTGCTTCAGCGTTAATTGACTTCTCGGGTTTCTCACTGTAGATATGATCAATGGCGCCGCGGCCCTGCGCTTCCCCCAAATTCACAAGTGCTCGACGAGCACACACGTCACCAATGGCGTAGATATGTTTGTGTGGCAAGCAACGGTTAAAAGCATCCACAACAAGCCGCCCATCAGTTACTTTACATGATGTGTTCTCCAACCCAAGCCCTGATACATTTGGCACGCGACCTACGGAAATTAGCGCACGCTCTGCCTCGTAGGTCTCAACGGGGCTGACAACATCAATGTCATTCTTCCGTACACTGTAAATGCAGCCACCCTCCTCCTCGTTATCGCCCCATGACTCCAAGTCAAAAAGAGTGCAGTTGCTGTGAATCGTCACGCCAAGCCGTACAAGTTGATCCTGGACAAACTGTGAGATGTCTTCGTCTTCCACCTGCAGGATGCGTGGGGTTCTGTCCACAAGAGAAACTTTGGTACGCCCCAAGTTGGCGTAGATGCTGGCAAACTCACAACCAATCGCCCCAGCACCGATGATAACAAGACTTGACGGAATCGGCAGTCGCATAATGGTTTCCGTCGTTACAATACGTCGACCATCCGCCTCCATGTGGAATTGCGTTCGCGGCACTCCGCCGGTGGCGATAATAAAATAATCGGCGCGGACCACATTGTACACACCGCTTCCAGTGCTGTGCACATCCAACTCATTTGGTGAGGAGAACATCCCTTTTCCAAACACAATTTCCACCCCTGCGGTGCGTAACGCGTCCAGCAACTGCTGTTCCCGAATCCCACTAACATCCTGCAACGCCTGGAGCACCCGCGCGTCGCTGATTTTGTTTTTCACTCCTGCGACAGCGTCCTCCTCAAACAGACGTTGTGCTGCCGGCCCAGAGAGACGTGAGGCGTACTTGGCCATCTCCCACAGTGTTTTGGACTGCAGTGTGCCGTCCCAAAGATCCACGCCTCCGACACGGCTGGCCTCAACAAGACACACCCGCTTTCTGTAGTCCACGGCTCGCAGGGCGGCAGCGACACCGGCAGGGCCGCCACCAATGACACATACATCAAAGTAAGGCAATTTGGAGGTGTTGCGTGTCACCTCAACAGGCATTTTGCGCCATGCCCACGATCTCCGCAGCATCGCACAAAAGCAAAAAAAAAAGGGGTTGGAAAAGTGTTCTTTTTTGTTGTTGTTTTCTCTTCTTCTTTTTTCCCTGTTGCTGTTGATTCGAATGAATGAAGCCAAAACAACACCGGCCACAAACGGCAACTGAGGCAAAAAAAGAAAAAAACAGAAGGCGGCGGCACTTTGATATACGCACCAAGCAAAGTGAAACGGTCAAAAAGAAAAAAAAAAAAAAAAATGAAATAAAAACGGAAAAACAGCCATTCATGCACACGCATACGTTTTTGGTCGTGTGCATTACATTCTCATTTCTCTCTACATGTAGCTTGTGTATACGCGTTCAAGGGTGCCCTTTCAAAACAAACAAACAAACAAAAAAAAAAAAAAGAGGGGTAAAAGAAAAAAAGAATAGCGTAAACAGAGATGACGCTGAGGGCTCCGTTTCTTTGCCTGTCCTGAAGGAAATCTCTACCGCATTTGTCACTTTCTTCGCTGCAAAAAAAAAAAAAAAAATGGTCCACCGTCGAGGACCGGAACATTTTTCCATGAAATGAACGCTTTTAGTTTCGCATGTCCCTTCCCTTCTTATGGGGAAGTCGCGTCTCCTCGTGGCGGGTTGTGCGCCGCAGAGGAGGACGTGTAGGCGCGCCCGCGTTCGTAGTCCGGCGGTGTCCACGTTTGACAAACGAGGCCGGGGAAAGTGCCTGGCTTCAGTGTGGAGGAGCCCAAAATGACGCGGAGACATTCCAGAAAGGCCTGCGACACGGACGGGTACGCCGTGAGAAGTTCGCTCAGTTCGTACGCCGATTGATTGCGTCTAATGGCGGCCGAGGCAAGCTCAATAATTGTGCTCGCGTTCATGCCCAGTGCCCGAACGCCCAGCAGCGTCTTCTTGCTGTCATTCGTGGCCAGAATCTTCACAAAACCGTCGGTGTTGTCGGCAGCAACGGCGCGGCTGCAGAGTTCAAACCCATACTTCGCCATGACGTAAGAAATCCTCTGCCGCTGGCACTCCTTCTCATTCATGCCCACGGATGCCACGGCGATGGTGAGAAAAATAAGTCGCGTGAAGTCGTGTCGAAGGGGTGACGTCTGCTGCACACCAAATATGTGATCCACCACGAGTCGCCCCTTCGCCTCCCCGACACTCACCAGCTTGGAGTCGTTCGCCGCGTCCCCAATGGCGTATATATGATCCTGGTCGACACACTTGCCAAATGGATTAAGCACAAGTGCCCCCTCCCGCACTTTACAACCCGCATTGTGAAGGCCGAGGCCGATATAATTCGGCTTCCGCCCAATGGCGATGAGGGCTCGCTCTACCTCGTACGTCTCGATCTCCCGCGTCCGCCGGTTCATGATACTGTAGCGCACACCACTGCGCTGCGTAGGGTCCTCTGGGTGTGCCCGCATTTCCGCGTCATCCTCCTCCCATGACTGCATGTCATACAGCACGGAGTCCTGGTGAATCACCACCCCATGGTTCTCCATGCTTTGCTGTATCCTCTCCACAATGTCATCATCCTCCTTCGGCATGATGCACTTCTCCTTGTCAATCAGGTACACCTTCGTCTTGCCAAGGCGGGCGTAGATGGTGGCAAACTCGCTGCCAAGCACACCGCCGCCGACAATCACCATGCTCTTCGGAAGCGGCATCATCATCAACTCGTCGGATGTCACGACTCGTTTTTGGTCCGTCTTCACGTACGGGTGTTCTCTCGGCGTAGACCCCGTCGCGATGATGAAGTAGTCGGCCGTGACGGCGTGGTACTCCTTCGTTTCGCGGTTGCGCACCTCCACCTGGTGCGGGCTCGCAAAGAATGCCCTGCCGTACATCAGCGAAACGTTCGCCGCCCGCAGTGCCTCGATGATCTGCTTCTCCCGCACCTCGCTGGTTTGGACAAGTGACTCCCGCATTTTCTCCTCGTCCGGCTCCATGAAGCTCGAGATGACGGTGCTATACACCCGCAGTGCCCCGCTGCCATTCGCCTTCGCGAAGAAGTTCGACATCTCCCACATTACTTTTGACTGCAGCGCGCCGTTCCACAAGTCACAACCGCCCACGCGTTTTGCCTCGACAAGACAAACACGTTTGTTGTAATCCACAGCACGGAGGGCGGCGGCAATGCCGGCTGGGCCAGCGCCAATGACACACACATCAAAGTGTGACAATTCAACGGGCCGCCAGCGCACTAAAGGGGGTTTGCCACCCCAAAGCAACAGGGCACGTCGCAACATGTACCCACCCACCCACCTCGCTTGTTATTAGTCACCAGCACAGACAGACAAAAAAAGAGGTGCCGAGGCACACTAAATATTTATTTGTGTGCGTACACGCGGAATTGTGACGGCTTTCTACCACGTTCACACACACACACACACACACCGTCCAACCAGACAGACGTGTCACGCGGAACTCCACTGGCAACGTCCGTAAACAAAAAAGAAACAACAACCGGACGTGCGCAATCCAAACAAATAAATAAATATTAATATACGTATGTGTATATATATATGTATATCTATCTTTCCGTACCCCACCTGTTTCCACCGCCAAGTCTGTTTCAGTGTGTAAACAACTATGCCTTTGAAAAGGTAGCGATAAAAAGATGCATGAAGAGAGAAAATAAAGCCGCAGTAGAAAGCGGCCGCCACACACACACACACACACACACACCAAGGAGGATTAAAGAAAAAAAAAAAAAAAAAGAGTGCCCCTCCCCGAATTCAAAAGGCCCACCTTTTTCATGAACACACATACACGCACTCAGAGAAATATATATATATATATATATATCAATAATAATAATAATAAAGATTCGCATCCCTTCACAGACACACGCACAGACACACACATATATAAATATAAATATATATACAGACTCACACACGCAAAATGAGAGAGATGAGTATTAGGAATACACACACGCAACAGGGGCTCTTAACTGCAGTCAAGTCGCCTCCTCTTCAGCCCCCCATCACACAATCAAACAAAAAAAAAAAAAAAACGCCTTCACCACAACATATACCGCCATAAGTGATAATAATAATTATAAAGAAATCAGAACAACAACAACAACAACAACATTTAAAAATTTAGTCATAAATGAAAGATGCACACGGCAATAAAATGAAAAAAAATGAAAAAAAAAAAAAAAAAAAAAAGAAAGGAAAATAAAACAAGAAGGAAGAATGCGCATGTTGAGAGGGTCTCAGGCACGTCAACAGACATGTACAAAAACCCTTTACGTAATTAACCTTTCTGTGTCCGTATGTGTGTTTGTATAAATTTTTACATTTGCCTGCTAATCCATTCACTTTTATTGCCCTCTTCCCCCTCCCCTCAACGCCTGTGGAGGTTCTCAAAGAAGAAGAAAAAAAAAAAAAAAAATCATTTGGCGCTTTCACAATTCTACAAAAAAAAAACAAAAAAAAAGACAAAAAAAAAAAAAAAGACCATATTTGTATATTTTTTCAATGTGTATTCCCAAGCGGTATCACTCACATGGGGGGCAAAAAGGCAGAAGATATCGTGGAAATTAACTGAAGCTTATGCTCCTTCATTTCTTCTATCAATTTTATAATTCTCTGCCTTTCCTTCTCCTCAGCGTCCTCCAACGCCACCACCACATTCTCAGCCTCCTGTAAGCAGTTTAAGGAAGGCGTTTTTATCATGGCAGAGTTGTTGTCATCCTCGTTCCACCCATCCTCTGAGGATAAAAACACTCCGCTACCGCCAGCACTTCGGACGTGCCTGGTGGAACTCCCCCGTTGCAGGATACTAGACAAGGAACCTATTTTACTGTTGTGCTGCATTTC